TTTATACAACCACGTCAGCAACTGCTTTGCGAACGCGGATCCGCTTCCAGTGTGAATGCGCCACAAGAGCTGCGCTCTGAAAAAAAAAAAAAAAAAATAAATAAAAGAAGTGAGGCGGGCACGTCGAGAGCCGATTTTGGTTCGCACGCATCCATAAACCTGACCTTGCCGGAGCACGACCGAACTGGACCCGCGAGGCCGATTGGGTGACGTCGACGAGTGACGTCGAGCTGCGGTCACCCAATGAGACTGGCTTTGTAGCAATGCTGTGGAGTTGTCACTCCGGAGTTGGAGTGATTCCGGAATCATTCCGCACTTTCGAGACCCCGGAATGGAACGGGAATGGAATGGCGGCAGCTTCTGGCGGAACGGGAATAAAATTAGATTCCTTTTGCTCGGAATGGAATGGGCTCGGTTCTTACGCAAGCTGGGTCGATCTTCATCCAAGGCCTACGGGCTGATGGCGCATTTGCTATCGCGTGGTAAGCGGCTCTTGAAACAGCGTCATTGCACAATTGTGATGACTGACGGATTGTCTCACGTGGCTTATGCTCCTTCTAGGATGAAAATGGCGCGCTCTCGGTGGAGCAACCAAACGGTAGGCCGATAAGGTGTCGTTCCTAGTGCCGTGAGATGCGGCAAAGCGGCTGCCGTAATCATGTGCGATTAGCATGCAGCTTTTAACCAGGGTGTCGAACCGAACCCGAACCAAATACCGTAGAAAAACCGTTATTTTTGACTGAACCGGAACAAAACTGTAACCGAAATCAAGCATCTGAAACTGAGCCGGAACAGAACCGTAATCTCATGCGGCGGTTGCCAGTTCATTAGAAAAGCTTCGGTGTCATAAAATGTGAGCCGCACCTTCTTGCGGGTGGCGGCAAGAAGTCAAATAAATGTTAGCAACGGTGGCGTCAGCGGCTCAGTTTTGACTAAACAAGCGGCTGCGACGAAATGGAGACAGCTCTGTAATAATGAAACGAATAAGTATATTTCTTAGAGCGAGAATCGGCGTCTGCATGGAGGCTTACACTTGTATACTTTGCTTCAGCTTATGGTGGACCACAAAGGACGCTACGAGCCACCGAAGCCAATGTAGAGCCTCGGAGGGCGTCACATGCCCTTCCGGTTTGGCTGAGAGACGCGGGAAGCGCGAAGTCACAAGAGCTACACGAACTACGGAGTTCGCTCGTGTAGCTCATCCATCGCCGCACATCGCAAGATGATTCGGAGTATATTTCAATGTGCCGAGAGAATAAAGAGCTATTCTTTCTGCGTGTGTGTGTTCCTTTCTTGCTGTTAAGCAGGAAGGATAAAGCGAACATAGACATCAAAGTAAAAACAAAAACTTGACGACGGTCGGCGCGTGTGTGAAATCCGGAGGCAACCAGAGGCGAAGCCGCGACGAGCGTGAAACTGCAGCGTCGGTCGCCGGGACGCCAGTAAACCAGAGCCGACGCTGCTTAGACTTTTTTTTTTTTGTGTGTGTGTGTGTGTGTGTGAGCGTTTTCTAGACACAGCAAGTCGCCTGTAGTCGTTTTTTTTTAACGTTTTTCGATCGGTTTTTGCTCTCTTTCTCCTCTAACTCAGTCGTTCGGTCGTGCGGTTTCAATCTGGATGAGCATGCACAGTGGGTACAACGTCGTCATACTCTGGCAGATTCAATTCCTATCTGAACAACCGACGACTAATTTGTTTTTGTGTGTAGCTTGCGCGAGTATGGTGTGTGCTACCGTCAAAGTGTCACTGTGCGTGCTGTCTGATTGACTTCGCATGTGAGTACTGTACTTTGGTACTGTTACCAATCGCCTGCATAACCACGTAATTTTAATAGAACGGTGTTCGCGTTAAAATTCAAGATAAAAAAAAAAAACGAAATTAAGCATATATTTGCTTTGCTTTCCTCGCTTTCGCAGCACGGCTTCTGATGACCTAATTTATTTTAATGAATGTGACGCGGAGATAAACTCACCTTTTTTCTTAACGACTTAATTTCCTTTCAAGAACAGCTTTGTACTGCTTCGCGCTTGGTGGAATCGGTAACCGAACCATTTTATTCCAAAAGCGTCCCTGAACCAGAACCGAACAGGGACAAAATGCAAAGCAACCCCGAACCCGAATAATGACCGGATCGACTCCCTGCTTTTCAACCCAGCCAACCTTCTAATATTTGCGTTTAACAAAAAAAAAAAAAAAAAAAAAAGGATTGAATGTGCAGCAAACGTAAAAGTTTACGTTTTACGGCAGGTTCCCTAGTATGGTGTAACCGTTCCTTGTGTACTTTTGTCGGTAGTTTTCTGTTCTTGCCGCAGTCCATGGACATTTGGGGCAGGCATACGCGGCGTCGCTTTGACGTGTACGCAGGCTCTCCTCCTCCCCCATTTCCGGGGAGAGGAGGAGAGCCCGCGCACACTCAAAATGGGAAAGGGGACGCGGGCCTGTACTACCTTCCACTGCATTGCCAAGAAAAGTTGTCGCGGAGTATAACAGCGCACTAGAGGTGCTGTTGTGCAAGTATTCGAAGCAGAAAGCAAGATGGCTTCTTCTTGCGCCACGCACGAACTGGACATTTTTTACGGCCTTGTCAAACAAACAACACGCTAACCATCTATATCTGGGGGGTATACACGGACCGTTAGCGAAGAAAATGAGGAGCTTTAATTTTTGGCGTCTGTTCGGACTCGCAAGCCTGATCGCGCGATCGATGTCTGCAGTGACAAGAGGTTGCCACGAGAAGCGCTTTGTGCGACCACCCGTCGGCTTAGTAGAATGAGTGCTTCGAGGATGCTTTTGCGTACTTTTGCAGTCGTCTCCGCGTTGGTTAACGTTAGCACCTTTATGCTGCTTTTTTGACTAACACAATGTGGCTGTCAATGGCCATTTCTTCACCTTTTGGAATTAGAGGAATGGAATGGTGAAGTTGAGCCATTCCAGAAGTGGGAATGGGCCCAGTGTCTCCATTCCGAGACTCCCCGGAATGGAATGGGGACTGCTTTGTAGTGCGCGTCTCTGCCTGCCTTGTTCCGGGTCGGAATTCCCCCGCCCGGGCGCGTAAAAAGGTTTTCACCCACTCCACTCTCTTCCCGCAGGTGTGTGATTGGCTGTCTCCAGTGGTTTCGTCACTCCTACGTGACAAGGCCGGCCGAGCAAAACGTCCGTCAAAAATCGAAAGGCGTCGGAGCGAAACATGGTTTCCACCTCCGAGGACTGGTCTTCTCGACGAAATTGGATGTCGGATCCGACAGTCGTCCTCGGTTTGTACAGCGCTTAACTTGGTTCTAATACACGGTTTACGACCTTTGTACGATCAACCCTGCTGATCAAAACCGGGAATAAGTCAGCGCCCGCGACTCTGACGTCACGATACTCGATTTGGCGTGAAGTTTCATATTTGTGTTCCATCGGTTTAACGTATATTGGGGCGTCGTTTAATTAAACAAATATCGGGACTATATTTTACCCCCGTCTACGTAACCAGCACAAAAACTTAGTGGCTTCCGGATATCACGGGACCATCCCTTTCAGACGGAAATCTGCTCCCAGCAGAGCGAACGCTGGAGCGGATCTCCGACCTCCTCTTTGCCGTTCCCTTTGAAGTGGAAAGAGCTCTCCATGACCACGTAACCGATCCGCAACAAAACGAAACTAAAAATGTCGTGAACCTGCACAAGTTCTACTCGGCGGAGGGTGTGCACCATTTTTACAAACTAAATGCGTAATAGCAAGTTCACGTTTGCTTTTATATCGTGTAAACGTAAGTATTATTTGAAATTTAGGATGTTTTCCCTGAAATAATTTTGTTACCGAGATTGGGCAGCACTATGAAAGTCGAACCCCAACCCCAGGTTCGCGAAATCCCTCCGGAAGGGGATTTTTTTTATGCAAAGAAAGTTTATCCTTTCTCTCTCTAAACGGGCCCCGGTATTTGCGGCCAGCATCGCAGGAAGCTGAAATTCTGAGTGCATCTGACGCTAGCAGCGAAAATAGAACACCAAATCACCTAACTTAAAAAAAAAAAAGTAATTTAAAATTAAGTTCTTATTGCAGGCACCTGTGGCATTTAATTATGAACCTGGCAGAAAGTAAACAAGATTCCTCCAGCTTTACGAATTATTTCGTGGATAGATAAATGCCAGTCATAGACACCTACTTACATTTACAACAAAATTTCGGCGCTTATTTATTCGCCTCCGGCCACCACAAGAGAGGGGAAGGAAACATTCTCCTCTTACCCGGACTCTCTTTTGTGTGCCCCAGACTTAGCGGTGGAAAAGGTGGCGAATACTAGAAAGGGGTAGTGAGACCAGGCACCCACGAACGGCGAGCGTAGAAAGGTCCCGGATGTAGGCGGCTTCGAAGGCCTTCGTCGAGCAGGTTTGGCAGCGCGAAGTGGCTCACCTTCTGAGCCGATCTTCACCCCGTGTTTGCTGTCGTTTGTGGCCAATGAAGTGCCATGCCGAATTAGTGTTTCATCGCGCACTAAAAGCAATGCGAGCCGCCCTGGCTGCCCGCTTCATACAGCTTATCCAGAACATGCTTGAATGGCGCCCTCTCGAGCCGTCGACACTGAGCGCGGCAGCCGTGGGCGCTCTCACTCAAGCAACCAAGGACGTCATAAAGGTTTTTTTTGCTTGTTTTTGTAATTTTAATTTGCCTAACTTTTAAAATAAACCGAAATTCTAGAAAAATTTCATCAAGTTACTACGTTCAGTGCGCTCAAGTTCGGTGCAAATATAAACCAGTAAAAAAAAAAATCCTTGCAGGGCCCCTTAATTAAGGTCAACGATATTGGGCCTAGGTGGACATCGACTCGCAAGGACATTTTTCCTCGATCTGTTGACCCGGGTAAGGTCAAGTTTTCAAGCTTTTGCAATCTTATCACCACCATCATGAGAAAATTGTAGCTGCCAACGACGAAGGCTGCTAGGACACTAGTGCTCATGTACCATTATCGCATGCGCTCACAATACCGAAGAATAAAGCACATGCAAACACATAAGCATCTTTTGGAGGTATTTTTTTTCTCCTTATATATATCTACAGTGTGAAAGTACTTTCCGTTCACAGGAGGAAACAAAAAATGTGCAATGTGCATGTTGTCAAGATCCAGGAAAAAAAAATTGGGGGTTCAAAAAAACAGGAGACTGAGCAGAACTTCACTCTCGCCACAAGCTTCGTAACATCCAATCGGGTAGCCACGCACAAAAACAGTTGTCCCACGAGCCAAAACTGGCAGCAGCGCAACGAAAACTGGTATATCCTTTCCTTTTTTTTCTCAAATGCACGAAAAATACTCACCCTGAGCGAGAGCGAAGCTAAATGCTCACTTTGCCATTAATAAAAGAATGCATTGAAAAAGCCCCACCCCATCGCAAAAATTACACACCGAAAGGGACGAGACATGAACGAAAGTACACTCATGATCTTTGTGTTGATGACGATGCAGAATCGGGTGACAATTTTATTGGCTGATTCTCGCCCCCCCCCCCCCCCCCTTTTCCCCAACTACGTCCCCTCGACGTATATTTAAAAAAAAAAAGTTTTTTTTTTTTTTTTGTTGCACGAGTGGCTCTTTAACCGGTTGTTTTAAAAACAAATTCCCGCAACTTGGCATTACGAGTTTCCCCCACGAAATGCAACAGGTCCTAGTTTATAGAGATGGTCGCTGTCTCGAAACCCAGAATGCCCGCAAAGACGGGACAGACGTCGAAACTTCTAATGTCGCGGTGCTCCTTTTAACGCCAAATAACACGCTTTTATAAAAAAAAAAAAAAAAAAAAAAAAAAAAAAAAACAGCGAAAGGGAAGATATTAAAAAAGACAAGAGCATAAAAAAAAAGTCAGGTTGTTTTCCATTCATATTCTGCCCTCCCAAACGACGACGCGCCACAATCAAAACAATCTACCAAGAAATTGAACCGCAAACAAGGAGGGATACAAGGCTATGCTAACACTCATTCCCAACTTAACTAGACGAAAAGTAAACCAGTCGTTCGGACCTCCCGACATATGTGATGACTTTCTTTCAGAAACCATGACGTACGGATGATCGAAAAAAATAAAACTCGAAAAGAGAACACATCAGAGCGACAGAGAAGAAGAGTCCAGGGAACGACGAGAGAGGATTCCTCTTTTTGCGGGGGTGGAGTCCGGATTCTCCCGGCTGTGTCTCTCTCCCCTCCCCCCTTCTTGTTTCCGGGACAGGAAGGAAGTGAGAGAGTGTCCGAAAAGACCCGGACACTTCCGGCCCCGCGCAGTGTCCTCCTCTGGCCCTCCCAACCCCCACGAAAACCAGCGGCGACGACGACGACGACGTTCTCGACGAGAGAGCTGCTCCTTTTACGCGTCGTCCTCGTCGTCGTCGTCCGGATCGTCGTCTCCTTCGGGGTCGTCCGCCTCCTCGTCGTAGTCATCTCCGTCGGGGACGGCGTCGTCGTCGTCATCGTCGCCCGCCTCCTCGTCGCCGGCGCCTTCCTCGTACTTGTCGTCGCTCTCGCCGTTCTCCTTCTTGTCGCCTGCACACGGACAGAAAGGGCACACCATTACCCTCATTCATTTCATGTAGAAATACTAAAACAAGGTTTGAGGCGGGTGTAGCGCAACATGCTTTTAAAAAGATCCCCAAAACAAGAAACCCGAGGACTGGGGACAACAGCTGACACAGCACCATTTTTTCACTCGAGCTACGCTAAACCAGCCAGCCCAACTCCACGTCTTGTTGCGAATCGCCAATACATTGTATTCAAATGTTTTTTCAATACAGTATTTACTCGCATAATGAACGCACCCCCACAAAAGGTACCAATATTTAGACTGTTTTTTCCCCTCGCTTATGAACGCACCTCCAATTTTCGGCCCCACGAGTCTTGAACTGCGTACAACTAAGTTAGCCACCAAGCCCACTTTCTTCTGTTGCCAAGCGGTCAGACCAAGTCAGGCCAAGCCGCTCTCTGACAGATGCAAGAGCCTACCTAGTTGCGGAAGTGATCAACTGCAAAACCAAGCGGCGCGCACACTTGACGAAGCTTGGGTTGAGGCATTGCCCAGCCCCGGACATTCTTCACCTATCGGATGCACTGATGTTAACAAACATGCCGTCGTCTGAGGTCCGCTTTCGGACAGTGAAATCGTGAAAGAATTTAGGCCTAAGAACGGTCGCGTCGCTCTTCATGCTGATTGAGCTTCGTAGGACGCTTTCACTTCGGCAAAAGGCACGTCGAAGGCACCCTATTAAGGTCCGCAATTTAAAAAGCGTAGTTACTGTGGCGCACCCATGACCAGCCACGGGTGCGTTTCCGTCAGTGGAAGTGTGCCACAGTACTTTGACATGTCATATTGGCACCTAATATGACCTTTGCAGGAAGTGCGTAAATGCAAAAAGTTTACCCTCTAGGTCACGTTGCACCAATTCAGTTTCTCCATTCCTCTTTCCTCCCTTCTCCAATCTTTCTTACCTTCTCACAGTGCCCTCTCTCCATCCCTTGTCACGTGACGCACCAATTCAGTTCCCCCAAAATCAATAAACATATAGTGCCTTTACTCCCGGAATGCCCGTTTTAACGTCTACCAAGGAACCGAAACGATCGCTCCTAAATACTCCACTTCATGCATTATACGAGTTTGAAAGGTTGCTGCCATTTTTTTTTTATTTCCAAATTTCTGTTGATGCGATTTATGTAATGGTGCGACCAAAAGAGTCGGGAAAGGTTTGAGGGCCAGTTTTCATGCGTTTTCTGCCTGCTCGGTTCATCCAAGAACGTGAATAGGGGCCGTGAAAAAGGAAAAACAAACGCCGTCGGACCACGATTGCTAGGGTGGGAAGCACTTTGGATTGAATTCACGGATACTTGTGGTCGTCAGATTTATTTGTTTTGTTCCAACATGAATGCGGGAAAACCGTCAACTTGCACGGACCGCCTACGGCCTATGTTCAGTGTGTCATCACATTCAAATGGCCGCCTTATCGTTTGAGCTGTCATCTGCTCTCACAAGCGTTTCTGCTTGCCGTCTGCTCGTTCAAACGACAGCGGCCCGTAGACCAAACGATGACCCAATAATTTCGATAAGAAGTGGAGACCTCAAAAGACGTTTAAGTTTGAAGGTTGCTTCGGAGAAGTAGGCTCGGTGTAAACGATAGATATAAGATGTCGATAATTGTTACCAGTGGCCATCACCGACTTGTTATGCCCGATTCAGCTTGCGATTTTCAGTATCGACGTCGACATCTCAGCTACAGTTCAGGCTTTTGCAGCCTGAGCAACATCATGACTGAAAATAGCGAGCAGATCCTCACCATGTGAATCAGACTTTAGCGTTAGGAGTTCATTAGGAATGAATCGCCGCATGTTACGTTATTCACGCCAAGTTTTGCGATGTAACGAGCCTAGGTAATTTCGCTGAGACCGCTCAAGTAATCAGACATTGCCAAGAAGACAGAATCAACAATTTCAACGCGAAAAAGAGCTTGGGGACTCACACCGACGCCGACAACATCCCATACCAATGGTTTGTTTATGGGCGACGGCGAGCTTCTTGCCCACACCTCCATTGCGCATGTGCGGAGTTGGTGGCGTCCGCTAGGAGCGCTCCGGTTTGTTTGTAAATGAGTTGGTGTATAGGCCAACACGCTGTTTACAAGTGAGCTCATGTTTACCCACAATGGGCGCTGGCATTGCGCCGTGTGGATAGCAGTGCTGTCACCTCGGAGCCGCATGTTGGTGTATACACCAACTTTTTCGTGACAACAGTTGCTTATAGGGGAGTGCAACTTATAGACCGGAATGTATGGTACTTCTCATGAATTTTATCGGTAAACTTAATAGGAACACTGCAACAAAAAAGTTGAAAACTTATCTAACTTAAACTATTATTGAGGAAATATCATTGCAGCTCTAAAATCAGTGGAAAAAAGTGTCAGTAAAAAAGTTACCGTAAAATCCAGAGAGATAACCCACCTAACATCAAGAGCAAATCCGGTTAAAATATGGAGTGGCCTAACTTTCTGTGTACAATAAAGAAAATTTTAAAACATTACTATTTTTAGGTCATGTTCCTTTCAAGCTTGTTATGGTGGCGAAGGGCAACGAAGCAAAGATGACCATACTTCCCAGCTAGCAACGTTCGCTTATATTCCGCCATAGCTAACTAGCCGCATTTACGCTGAGGTCATCATTAACCCCAATACTACTATTACTAAGAGTTAAGTATCGTTCGGTGTAAAAAAAAAAAAAAAAAGCAAATCAAGTTGAAATTAGAGGTGGGCTATCTTTCGGGGGTGGCGCATCTCTCGGAATTTTACGGTATACTGCATGGCTCCAGTTCTTCCCAAAAGTTGACACAAAACATGCCACTGAAGACGTACTGCCGGCACCCTTTCCACTGGAAAATGGAGAAAGTCGTCCAGTCGCTACACTTAGTTTCACGCTACAATGGACCGCGGACGAGACCACAAGTCGTCTAACCCAATCCAGTGCCTCGTGACTGTCACGCAATATACGGGGCATATCTTTTTCAGCTATAGAAATTTGCTCCAAAAAAGCAGCGAAAGCTTCTTATACTGTTCGTGCAGGCAAGTTATACGGCCAGGAGGACACCGCACAGGCGGCTAATCATAATGATCAGTCGGCTAATTAAGGTAATTTGTTAATTAACATCTTAATCACTGAACATGGACACATGGTTCCAATTAGAAACTTGCCGAGTGCCACGGAAGACCACCAAATCAATAATTCTTAAAAGTACTGGCAGCACGTGGGAAGCATAGTAGTGCGCTAAAGGTACCACTCGAGCAACAGGTACGAGGCTGGGGCTATTCATGACTCCAAGTGTTTATAGGTGGCGCCACTCGTTTTCTAAAATGGCGGTTATAGTGAGGGTCAGAGATGCGCGCTGGGTATATCAGTTGCTGAGCCTGTCTAGTGTGCTGGCTTCACTGAGCGACTCAAATATTCTGAAACGAAACCGAAACTAGCTTATATTTTGTAGTTAATTTCTCAATATAAGAGTTAATTTTGGTTTCTCTTCTAATTCAAGATGTGTCTCGCAGTGTTATTCTTTAGCTATCTTCAGCTGAAGTCACACGTGACATGTGTGTCCGATTCTCCTTTTAAACACAGGGTCTTTCATACTCCTTGAGCTAACATAAAATATTGTATTTATTAAAAAAATCAGGACTGATATTTGTGTGTTCTTGCTGCTTTTTCTCGCTCAGTAATGTCATGTGATGAACTGCAGGTCTTTTAGTAGCTTTGTAGGCATTTAGATGATTAAGTTCTTTAGCATTATTGCCAACACAAGCATAACAGAATCAATCCAAATTTTACAAAATATCGCCGCGGGTGATGAGTTTAGAAAATATTCACAATACATATAAATTAAGAAACACTATTCTCACCACAAAAAGTCACTAAGGGAATCCGAGTCAGAGGGCAGCGTTTTTTCAGCAATGCGTGACTCATAGGATTTTATATTAGGGTTTATGTCTATCTTAATAACAAGGCCAATCTTACATATTCTTAAAAAAAAAAAAAAAAAAAACAATAAAGAAAATTATGGTTAGATGATGTATTTTAGCGATTGTGGCATTTACTGGGCGCCTACATTACCGCAATTTGTAATATAATTTTGCTTTATTTAATTTAAAAAGTGCAAACAACTATGGTAATAGAAATTTGGCAAATTATCATCATTGTTGCCAATGATGATAATTTAACATTAAGTGACAGGTTATAAAATAACAATAGTATAAAATTTTCTTCGCTAGCTAGAGAAATCTATGCAAAATTACATTAATTGTGGGTAAAGCACAACACTATCAAAGCCAAGCCCCCCCCCCAAAAAAAAAGGAAGGGATTTTGTTGTTTTTTAGTTACAAAACTTAATTATTTTCTTTCATTTTTATGCACCGTTGCTTTGCAAATCTCAGCCTCTCCAGTTCGAAAAATCCCCTCCAAGCTCGCACGTCTGCTCTCTGCAGCATGTTTCGTTGGCGTAGGAAAACCGGTGTAACAGTAGTGAGTTTGAGTATTGCGCATTCGAGAGAACGCAAGCATCACGTGTGTGCGTTAGCGTTGAGTCTTCCACACTGCGCGTGTGTGGAGCCCGAAATTGAGGCCTTGTATTGAAGCATGGCAACGACGGGCATGCGCTAAAGCAAGCACACACGGCGCTTGTTTCTATACACAAAACTATCACTTTCTAGCAAGGCACAATTCAATACCGGCCGTAGCACTGCACTGGGACAGCGAAGAGAAGAGCAGAACAGGGGGACCCTCACTAGAGCGCTTCCCGTTTCCGCCACGAGAGAGCAAGTAACGAGCTGGAGTCGCGAATAATAAAAGGAGAAACAATCGCTCGAATGCATTATCGCACCGGTGGCCTTGTTCCTGCTGTAAGAGTGGCATCCTAAAAAGACCGACTTAGTGCTTTTCAATGACGCCCCGCAAGTTTCTAATTGGAACCATAAGACTATTTTCACTAATTTACAAGTCAATCAACAAATTTTACTCAATAAGCC